ATATATATAGACACACACACACTCTTATGTATATGTATATATATACATATACATCCACATATTGTATATATGTATGTACATATATATATATAATTATATAAACTATATATATATATATATATATATATATATAGACACACACACACTCTTATGTATATGTATATATATACATATACATCCACATATTGTATATATGTATGTACATATATATATATAATTATATAAACACTCTTTGGACATCATTGAATATTTGCGTATATGTATTCAGATGTGCACTCAATATATAATACATGTTTTAGTTTAAAATACATGTCATGCACCTCTTGGATGTATATCTTACACTCACCTCCACTTCTTGCAATTCGCTGGACACATATCAGGTTTGTTTCACCCACACCCAGTTTAGAAGTATGATCTTACAGGATCCTTTAGGTATCTAGTTAAAAAATAAGTTGTTTTCCAGTTTATAATCTACTTATTAAAAGAAATATTAAATGTTATAAGACTGTTAGTTTTTACAATATGTGAATAGAAAAAACAACGTCAATCTCTTGTAAATTATTAATTGTAATATGTAGACTATAAAGCCGTGTCCCCATACTCTTTATCTTTTACTGATTTTTCATGTCTTGCGCCCGCACCCGCACCTGTGCAATATAGCTTCTGCTGTTTTATTTGAGAAGTTTCAGGAAATTCTTGCCTTCTGGTTCATGTACTTCTACTTTCTTAATTTTATGCACTACTTGTTTACTATTTTTGTCATGATGGATGCTAGTGGTCTAAGCATTGTGTTTCAACGCATTGCATAACAGCCTGCAGTAGAAATTATTGGATTTAGAATTGGAGAACTAAGAGGCTTATCAAGATGGCGTACACAATACGACACTGTTGGACTGAATGAAAAACTTATCAATGATGCGACAGAGCATGCTGGAATATTTATGGTGCAGGTCGAGCGATTTCTGAGGGTTCTAGCAATTATGATGTACCAGGTGTATTCCAGGTTTAAAATTATTGTGTAACTTGAAATTGATGGGTTTTTTTCGTGTTGCAAAATTCCTCATGTTTTTCACTTAAAATACTCTCTTTTCATCTGTTCTTATATTGGCTTTTATGTAACAACTGTTTTGGAATTATATGGTGTGCGCGTGCACTCATATATTACACCGTTTTCCCCATTTCTTCAGTACTTTTTTGATACTTGCGGGATACTTATCTTTATTGTCCTCTGATGAGGAACATGATTTTAAATTTATTACCATTTCTAACTTCATGCACTTTATGAAACTCATCCAGTTGCTTGTTCTGAATAGTTTTTTGGATAATTTTTAGTTTTCTGTTGATACCAATTTTTACTCATAAGTCACATCTTCTATGCAAACATGTTCTACTAAGGTTGTACTCAGATAGGTGTAGTTGGAGCCCATTGGTGGTCCAAATGCATCTAAATCACAACTTACATGTTTGGTTGAGTGGTTGTCGCAAAAGCAAAATAAGCTAAAAAAAAGGGAGTCGCAAGTGCACTCAAATTAAAGACTGTTGCAACATCGAGCGTTGCAACTAAATGATGTTGTTCTAACTTATATCTAACCAAAGACACCCTAAAAGTATTCAATTATCCATATATCAATGTTCTAAATAGTCTACTGGACCAGAATGATCAAATATTTATCACTAGGAGCAGCTTTTTGAGTATTATCATCAATATTATTTTTTTCACGAAGATAACTGATATCATCTTGCTGATGAATGTAAACTCGACTAGTGCAAGGAGTTCCTTTTTAAATTCCTATTAAAATTGAATCATCTTTCTTTTTCACCTTACCAAGATTTCAAGCATCACTTTAGGAAAGTTGAATACTTATTATACATGTATGGGACATCTCTTTGAATCATTTGGAATTCTTATTTGTTGAATGCTTGTGTAGGTAGACCATTAGCTATCTTGTCACTGTTGCATTGTTATCACATGTCAAATCACTTTTTTCTTTCCCACTTTTTTTTGTTGCTTTTTTCCCGTTGAATGCCAGTGTTCTTCCTTGTGAGTTGAGTACTCTCATGCCCTGCTTGCTCTCCTGGCAGGGCTTGCGGAGTGTAGTTAGGAAGATCAAGTAAAATTTAATGTGCATATGTAGAGATAGAAAAGGTTACCGAGTCCTGTGACAACTGATAAATTCTTCACTATAGCTATGACTTGGTATTGATGATAATAGCCACCTGAACTTACCTTTTATCGTATTGTATCTATCTTTGCAACTCTTTATTGTTTTCTCTCGTGTTGATTGTTTTTTCCTTGTCGTGTTTTCAGTTCCAGAATTTCTTTAATTGGCTATCTAAATGTATAAGGATACTATTGTCGGAACCGACCGATCAGATCCAACCAGTCAATAGGTCTGATCTCTTGCTGCTTGTTCTATATTCATCTGGTGGAACTAATACTTATTGATCTTGACTAGATCTTTTGATCTTATAGTGAACTTGTCGTGATATTCTTGAAGTTTCTTTTTGACCATGACCCGGTTGGTCAACTGTTGGAGGTATATGAAGTAAACCACAGTATTGAAGTTGACATGTAAGTTCCACTATTGAAGTTCATTTCTATTCTATTGTATAAAATATATCCTGGTTAAGTACTTCAGAATATTCTCTCTTTTTTTATTATTAAACATGAATGCTATTGTGATCTCTGTCAGTTTCATTTCTTGCAAACAAGTAACTGGCATATTGGCTATTCAGTAGGTATGCTTGTGCACTATTTATTCCATGTAAAATATTTACTCGAAATGAAATTTGTTTTCTTAGTGACATGAACTTCAGAGGACTAACTACTTTTGAGGAAGTATATAGTATGCAAAAGATTTACTTTTCTATATGGTTTCAGACATCTTTTCTTTGTGCAACTTGTTTAGTACACACTGTCATGTTTTGTTGAGGTATTTTCTTTTGTCTGTGTTATCAGTTACTACTTGCCTTGGAGATGACATAAAACATCATCTGTACCGAAAAGAGGAAAACCAAACTCTTCATAGCATTGAAAATGAACTACACTTTTTCTTCGTGTATCACTTGGTTCCACACACTATCAGTTCTGGGACTACACTATGTTTTCTTTTTCAGTGTGTTATCACTTATTATTTGCCTTAGAGATGACAAAAAATGTCATTTGATTCAGATAGAGGAAATCACATGTATACTTTAGATTGAAAATGAACCAGACCTTCATCCTATCTCGAATTTTTAATTTCTACAAAGAACTTTTTGTGGTGCAGCCAAATTTAGAGATCTGGGATATGCTATCCTTTCAATGTCCATCTCCAGTTCACATGGAAATGTGTATCTAACTGATAATAACTTATGCATAGAATGTGAGAAATGGTTGCGATATGTGGAAACAGGAACCCTGTTTTCCAAAAATTAACTGGTTCCCTTCTCCGTGTATATGAGCTTCTAGGCTTGACAGAACTCTCTTTGTCGACAGTTGCCTAAGTAAGGAATTTGGCACCGAGTAGAGGTGTTAACAGAATGGTGCACAATTGATATAAGTGTTACTGTATTTGTATTTCTTTTCTTTTGGGACATTCGGATATGTATTGAATAGTATTCAAACATTGATGGATATTTTAATGGAGAGTGGACTAGATTAGGATTCTAAACTGAAATGATTGAGTATGTCAGAAGGGACACCAAAGCAAATTTAGCAGTTATTTGTTGGTCTCTTTTTATATTAAATGAGAAATAATAACACAAGTTCCATCAGCTAATGGAAAATGTGATACTGAATCTTGACCTATCTTCTTCAGGACCTGTATGTTCGTTTTGGTTTCTGGTAGTCATATTTATATTGGGAATTGTGAATACATTAGGACTTTGCCTATAGCTTAGCACAATCATTATCTGCATCTGTATTTCAAATGTGTTACGAGTTTATATTGTTGAAAGACAGATATGGTACGAGTTGCTGATTGGATTCTCCAGCTCAATATATCAGTCATAAACATTAGTCCAAAAAATAGTATCAATTTGAAAGCAGTGGATAATATATGTCGGTACCAATCTCAAAACCAAACAATCAAACCAACAAAATAATATTTTATTGCACCAGTACCAACATATATTAAACCTAACACCAATTTACTCTTCTTGCAAACCAACTAAATGCATTGGCTAATGGTCACATACTTTAGGGGATTTGTAATCATAAAATGATAGTTTGAATATGCCTTTGTGTGCTTCTCCATATTCTGAATAAAAATTGAAAGAGAGAAAATGAAGCACAACTAGCTGTAAGTAGGAATGAGGAAACAAAACCAATCAAAGATTTGTGGAGAAGAAGAGATGTGGTTGTATTTTTATTTTTCTTTTTGCAATGACATTTGGAGTTCGATGAAGCTAGCAAGTATGGAAAAGAAGATAACGAAGTTGATGGTGATGTCAGTCGCAGAGGGAAAGTGTAAAGATTGTTCCTGTGGCAAAAGCCTCTCGGCTTCCCCGAGATTAAGAAAGGTCTCTATGGTTAAGAATCTGGTTCTAATACCATGGTAAAAGTAAAAAAATATGAGGATAATTTGAGAGACTAGAAAGTTGATTTGCCTCTTCTTTCCATCTTTATTTACAATGGAAGATTAATCCAATCCAAATTACCCAAGAAACTAATTAACTTTCTAAATATGACAACCTTCTAAGTAAACCAACTCCTCTTGTTATAGTATTCGACCCATGTGTGTTGATAGGTTTGGAAGATGGTGATGCCAATTGCATATTTTCCATTATATTTTAAGTACAAAAGTTTAGATAGTTTATTTTTGTGATAGTTGCCCCTCAAATGACTTTTATCCGAATCGATGTATCATGATGTGCAGTCTTAATTGTGAAAAAAATGGTATACTATTGCGAGGCCCCTATATGTATGTGTCAGTTTTGTGGTTGTAGTTCTTTGATCATTATTACTAAATGGTATAGTTATGGATGTAAATGAGAGCCTATGCTTTATTTTCCCAATCTAATGCATTTCTCTTATTTTATAAGTGCATGTCTTCACTTTAATTGGTATAGGATAGAAGGTTAGCGTAATTTATATATTATTCCTAACATGTGCTGTTATTTTGGTCTAGCAGAGATACAATGCAACGAGTTGAAGAACTTGTTGCATTTGGCGGATTTTCTGATACCAAGTTCCTGCATAGGACTCTAGCTAAAGAGTTCAATCTATTAGAGGAATGGTATGAGCATAATCTTTGAGCTAGTGCAACTTAAATGATTCCTTGACATGTGTCTTTGTAGGTTTTTCTTTTTTATGTTATATGGTATTTAAAGTTCATTACTATATTTAAAAGTTTCATTTAGACAAATGATAAAAACCTTATTTAAACTAACACATTTTGTATCGCTGCTTTTTCTAGTCACTGTTAGATATTTTTAATCTCTATTTTTGCATCCTATTTAAACTTGCGCTATATAAATAAACACCTAATTCCTCACTTATCATCTTGTTAGTTTCAAGTTGCACAAAATGGAGGCACATTTTACTGTTAAGATTGCCACTGATTTATCATTGTGGGTGTTACATTTAGTAGAATGCTTTTATAAGTCAAGGATGATTTGTCAATTACAAATCTTTAGATTAATAACCTTAAGGATTAGAGCTTCTGATTACTTTGAGAATAAAGGGAGAGCTTGTTAGGTACCTTGAATATTGAATTCCTTTTGTTTTCTAGATTGATGTCAGTGCAATGAGCACTTGTGGATGTTGATACTAGAACCGTGACACTGTGGATTTCTATAATTTATTCTATGGGTATCGATACTAGAACCGGGACCTAGAACTAATATAGATCCCGAGTTTCAAACCTTGACACCAAGAGGTAACAAAGAACTATATAGAGTAAGCCAAGGCTGCCAAGAAAAGACACATAATACAATGTTTTTTATAAAGTTTTTAGAAATGAAAAAAATGATGAAAATAACTTAAAGAAGGAAGGATGTGTGTAAAGCAGCGACGTTCTCAATATAAATTTGATTGACGACAAAATATGAGCATCCAAATATGAGAAAAGGGAAGAAATGACCTAGGTAAAGTTAAAGTAGTGAATAGCAATAATCTTAATAAAGATGAACTAAAGAAAAGAATTAGTTTCATCAATTGTTTAATGAAAATGATATGTAGAATTAGCGAATCAATTTGGTTATAAGAAGATGGACTGTCAAAGCTATTATTTACTGAAGACAATAGCTGAGACACTTCAAAGTGAGTATTGTATCTGTGTCAAGATAATTACCACATTGACACATGCAAGACACATTTCTGAAATATTTAAGTCCATCTAAAGCTATCGTGGACTTTAAGAAATCATAGAATTGCATCTATTATATATGTTAGGTTTCTAGAATCCTAATGATCATATGTAGAATACGAGTCATTTGTTGGTTAAACAAACATATAAAATGTTCTTGAATATAACAAGGTACTATGTTAACCCAGATATTCTCTCTCTCTCTCTCACAAACTATTGAGGTCTTCATTTATTTATACTAGATGATATGCTAAATCATGCTTTCAATTATTTTTTATTTACTCACTTGACAATCATCGTAATTTTATTTATTCTTGTAATAAAACATGTTTGGATCATTAATCCTTTTGATGCATATTTCATTAAAACATGGATAAAAAGATGCACGCACATACATGTTGTCTCTCTTTATTCTATTTTCTCTTTTTTGTATTCTTGCTTATATTAAAATGGTTGGTGGAGAGATAGAAGGAAAGAAATATATAAATGGTTCTTATTGATTTGGGAAAAGGTTGAAACATGGTCCTTAGAGAGAGAAATAATTAAACATCGAATAAATTATTGATGTGGTCAAGGTCGTACTAATGGATGAGACTTGAGACTTTTATCACTGTAGTCTTGCACTAAATTTCAAATTAAGCTATATCTTATTGTACTAGTTATGGATGGATTTTACTAGGAATATTCAAAATAAAGTCCCGCTATGTTTGTTGTTTGTTGATGATATAGTTTAAGTCAATGAGCAAAAGGATAATTCCTTGAATGGAAAGTTGAAAAGAAGTTTTAGAACCTGAATGATTTGGAATTAGTAAAACGAAGATAGAATATATGGAGTAAAAGTTTAGTGCAACTGAACAAGGATGCAAGGAAGACTTGATCAAAATCAGTGTTTTCAAAGGCACGTCTCTCATTGCGCCTTAAGCGCCCTATGATGCAGGGCAATGGCTAAGCGCCCCGCATCCGATGCAGCATCGCCTTTTGTGCCTCGCAAGTGACTTGTGCTTTGCATAGGACACGTGCTAGGGATGGTTTTAGATAGTTCTGTTATTTAATATCTCAATTGGGTCTTTATACCTGATAACCCATAACCAATAAGCAAAATAAAAATATTAGGCCTTTATATTAGTCCAATTGAGGACCATACAATTTGCTTCAATATTAGTCTTGATTTGACATTTGATTTGAAATTCTTTTTAACTTCACTCCATGTTGGAATTGTTAGCATTAGAAGTTAAGACCTTAGTTTGTGATTTCATAGTAGATATTATTTATCTTGACACATTTTTATGTAAAAATATATAACCATGTTCTTTAATGCTTGATACCCATCTTAAAAAATAATGTGTGGTGTGCGCTTCACTTCACTCAGGCACGTGCATCGCGTTATACCTTGCGCATGTACACGTAAAGATACTTTGTGCCCCGCATTGTACCTCGCTCATTGATAACACTAATCAAAATATACCTAGAATTGATCCTTTTTTCTTACTTAGAGTTCAACAATCTTCGAGAGTATAAGATAAGGAAAATTTTGTTTGAGATTCAAAGTGCTTACTTAAAACTAGAAAAGTCCTTCTAAAGTTTTAGTTGCTCGTAGAATGCAATATAAAATTTAAAGAAAAATTCTATAGGACAATAACAAGATCAAAAGTTGTTTATAGATCAAAATGTTAAGCATCTAAGAATCATATATTCAAAAATATGAGTGTATAAAAATAAGAATATTCAGATGACTTAGTGACAATGTAGTATGGGGTAGGACAAGAAGTAAGTGGATCAATAAGATGTGAGAGATTGTTCTAGTTATGATAAAAATGATAAGGAACTGATTAAAGATCGTTTGAGCATGTGCAAATGAAACCAAGAGTGGCTGTTTGGAATATTGAGATTATCGTAGTAAGCGAACATGGGTGAATGTAAATGAATGCGCAAGTGATTAGTTTAACTAAGGAAATGACTTTTCGTAGAGCTCAAGGGAAGAAAAAGATTCATATAGGGACCCTAAAAGCAATGTTGGTAACAATGATAACATATAATATAGTTATTGCCATCTCGATAACTTACAACGAATATAACATAACACATAATGCAAGTCACATTTTTGTTATAAGTTAATTTAAAACAAATAAAAATATTCATTATGGTTTTAATAAATAGGAACAAAATTTCAAAATACACATTTTGTTTTTTAATATTCTAAAATTTGATACCATCTATGCTAATTTGCTAACAAGTACCAAAATGAATATGCAAATATATCAGCACAAATTTACATTTCCTTCAAAGTTTCACTTTCATTTTATTCTTCAAAAATCAAAGTTCACAATCACAATCTTAATGATGTCACAGACTATCAATAACTATGACTAAAGAAGGCGTCAAGACTTAGCAAACATTCCTAAAGTAAATACTCAATTGCATCATGCCTTAAAAAAGTAATCTTAAGCCTCAACTTTAAGTAATATTGGAATAGTTACATTATATTGATATGATGCCTTTTATATTGAAATCACATACGTACGTTGAAATAGTGTATACAATTTTTGAAATAGCCTGGCGTTACAATTTATTTGAGTTATTTCAAAATATG